GGTAAGGTGTTTCATGGGATGATGTCACTCGCATGATCATGACAGCCCTCGTTAGCATATTGAGGGGTGTCAACTTTAATATGCATTTCGTGGATAATGAAGCAAAGTTCATTCACCGGACACATGGCCCTTGAAATCTGCCCAGGTGCCCCAGGGCAGAGCCGTCCCATCTCCACAGGGCTCTCTCCCCCAGATACATCGGGCAGCCTTATCAGCTTCGGCCTCCACAGAAATCACCCTGTGACTCATGGTTTTGTCTTGGGAGTGTTTGAGGCAAATCTTCAATCAGCCTCAACTCTTGCTTTCCCAGGCTGTTTGTCTTAGTTTTTCACAGGCCTGGTTGCTCGGCTCTCACACTCCTGGGTGTGACTCTGTTTAGCACAGGCAGATGCAACCCCTGCCATTTACAATCCACACCTCCCTCAGCTGGAGTGTGGCCCAGGAGAGGGGTTGGAATCACACCAAGCACCAGGCGGCCCAGGAAGCAGGGGGGGAATTACCACAGCTGCTTCTCCCCTCTCGTGTAGACTCATGAGGACAAAGCCCACACGTCTTGTTCAATAGTTACTATGGTGTTCACAGTCATGTTCGTGGAGAGGCGTGAAAAAAACCACACCTGAGTTAAGGGCAAGCACACAAGGATTTCCATAGCAGTTTTAGATAGGACCAGGTACCCTGAACCTATTATTATACTGGATAAGAAAATGGGATCCTGTGTTCATGGAGGTGCTGGGGATGCCACAGCATGTCCTGGAAACATGAGCGAATGAAGGTCATTGGAACTAGGAGTCAGCACGGATCCAGCAGGAGGAAGCCTGCTTGCCCCACCTAATAACCTTCTGTGGTGAAATGACCAGCTGGGGAGACGAGAGGAGTGCGATGGCCACTGTCCACCCCGCCGTGAGGAAGGCTTTCTGCAGCAGCTGCCAGAAGAGCCCCATGGAGACACTGAAGCAGCATGGGCTGGCTGAGGAGAGGGGGAGGTGGGTAGATGGTGGGCGAAGAGCCAAGCCCAGAGGGTGGTGAGCAGCGGCATCAAATCCAGCTAGAGCCCAGGAGCCAGCAGGGAAGCCCAAGGCAAGAGGCATTGCCAGCAGGTGGAGGGAGGCGGGGTCCTTCCCTCTGCTCTGTCCTGCGCTGGGCTCCCCAGGGCAGGGGAGGCGGGGCCATGCTGGAGAGAACCCCCCAGCCTGGGACCCCTCCACTGTCCATTGGGGTCGGGCTGTTGGTCACTTGGAGCCAGCAGCTCCCAGCGCCAGCAGCAGCAGAACTGGATTCCCAAAACTCAAGATGCATACGAGCTTATTAAAATTTAGTCTTTTTAAGTCTTCCTTATTTGCAACTTCACCATTGTTTTATAACCACCAAGGTACAGAAAACACAGAATTAAACTTACTCATCTTCGTGCACAAACATCTTTCTATATAGACATACATATATGTCAGTCTTGACGCTAGGTTTTGCATATAGTCACGCAGTGAAACAGAGCTGTAAGTGAACCAGTGCTGACACAGAGAGCTTGTCCTAAAAACATAAAGCACTTAATTTGCTGAGCTTCCTCGCCTTCAAAAGCATCCTGACGTACGGCAAAGAGACTAAAATACAAACATGTATCTTTACCACTCTGGTGCAGCAACCAGAGGAATAAGTGGCACGCTGTCTCTGCAGATGGCTTTATTTAGAGACCCCAGGGGCAGAGAGAGTGCCTGACTGTGTAAAAAGTTCCAGCAAAGCCATTAGCAGCAGCTGGAAAAGTAGAGAGAATTCAGTTGTAATGCCCACTATTGAAAGGACCTGTATTTTTAAGAGATTTATCTTAATTTATCTTAAAACCTTTAACTCACAGCTACATCTCCAGTTCCAGTCTTTACCAGCATAAGCAGTATATTTCCAGGAATCACTAATGCTGCTTCTTTTCTATTTATTAGGGGGTTGTTCTTGCAAGACTGGTTTTGTACGCCATCTAGGAAAGAAAACCACACTGCTCATGTGCATGTAAGAAAAAGAAGTTGCCAAGAAGTGATGACGTCTTGCTTTAGCATTTCAGGCTTTTCTTCAGCTAACACCCCTAAAAATGACCCACTTTGAGGGCAAAGTCTCCCAGTGGGAAGCATACTCAATTCACAATGTCATGCCCACAACTGGGTTTGGGCTCCAGTCCCTGGCCTTTGAGTTATTACTCATTTACTATGACTATCTATGAGACTCTTGCCTTGGATGTACTATATATTTCACCAAACAGTAACTGGGTAAAGGCGAAAAAAATATAATCCTGGGAGCAAGGAACAGGACCCAGCACTCTTCCCCACATGAACTGCTCTGTTCTTCGGGTGGCAGCAGCTGCTCCCACATGCTCTCCCTCTGCCCATGTCTCCTACTCTCCACTACCATGAGGTCTACAGTCAGTGGAGGAAGCTGAGGATGCTCCGCGGGTCACAGTGGTTCAGGAACTCTTAGGAGAGGGGTGGATTTGAACTTCTTTGGTCTAAGGAGGGCACTTAACTCGGATCTTTCCCCCAAGCTCTAACTGCTCAGCTGTGACACAAAACAGGGGGGTAGCACTAGCAGAGGCCATATTTCAAAGGAATGAAACGTGCTGGTTGCCTGCACTGACAGAGAAGGTCTGGCTGCAGTTCAGAGTGAAGCCGAGGGATGCCCGTGGGCACACCCAGGACTACAAGTAGGTGCCCAGCCTGGGAGACAGGCACTCCTCTGCATCTCCTGGGGACGGGTGGGGGTGTGCTCCTGCCTGGCACGCTCTCTGCTGTGGATCTCGGATTGCAGCACCCAACCGCCCCCTCTATTTTCGATGCTCTCCAGCCATCAAGCTCAGAGGCAGGAGTTGTGCTCCCAGAATGACGGTGAGAAGCCGAGCACAGCAATGCCCGGCATCGCCAACCCTAAGGGTACCAGCAGGCAGCCCTTCCCCCTCCCTCCGCGCTGCCCGGTGAAGCTGTCGCTCCCCACTCGTGGGCAGACGCCCACTCCACCGCCTGCCTGTGCTCCCTCATCAGACAGAGATGTTAATCACGGCTCAGCTGACTGCACGGCACAGTAAGAGCTGGGAGCTTGGGCAGCTGGCAAAGATGCCATCAGGGCAGACGTGGAGCAAAACTTCCATTGTGAGTCTCCATCAGCTGTTCAAACCTGCTGGGCGAGGAGACTTCCAGCTCAATCCCAGACAGATGACTTTGGGGAAGAACTGCAGCGTGGATCCTGCTTCCCTGCCTTTAGATCTAAACTTGATTTTACTCTTTCCCCTCAATTCATCCTGCTGGTCATCTGATCTAAACTAATTCTCTTGATTTTCACTCACTCGTCTAGCTTGCTTATTCTTCTCACTTTGGAAGAAGGTTTGTTATCAAATAGTCAAAATTTAGCTCATGAAGCAGTTTTCTGATCCCATCTAAATACTATTGTTTGGTTGAAATGGGAAGTGCATTAATGCAAATTACAAGCACTGCGGATCTCAAAATAAATACAGAATGTAACTTGTGTATTCTGTGAAACCACAACCAGTCAAGCTCTTCTCTAAACACAGACACCACAAACTAATTCCTGAGAGTGGCTGAGAGCCGTCACATAGATTCTTCATATCACAATCCTCTGAGCTTGGGTGTTTCTTAATTGTTTTCAATTCATGGATTTGTAGAGCAGCCACAGGCAGATGTTGGAACAGACAAAGAGCATTACAAGCATTTTTGTTTCCGGCTTTATAGACCTTGAGGAGATTCTTCATACAGAAATCAGCCCAACCTAAATATTTTCCTGTGCTTCTCTACGCGGTTTGAGCTGTTCTAATGCACCTTAAAACTGGCTCCCATCAATTGTCTCTCCTCAGGCTGAAATGACCTTTGTCAGGGGGAATGGATGTTCACAGAGTAGAAGGGAACAGTCTAGGCAACATATCTTCCTCTTCAAACAAAAAGGTTCTTTCAGTAGGAGGTGGAAAGATGCTACTTTGCTACACCAACCTCATCAGGAACATTGAATCTGGAGGTTCAAGAAATACAGACAGTCGTATAACGTGATACTCAACCTGCATAAGACAGCTTTATAAAACAGAGTGTAACTCCACCTATGGACTTCTCTTAGAACAGATACTTGTCTTTTCTAAGGAAGCACGTAGGGTCACCTCAGAAGATTTTTCCTATAGCTGGCACTACTGTGTGTTCTGCTTGAAGG